AGATTGACTTTAAACTTTTGATCCTCCTGCCTCGGCCTCACAAGCTGCTGGAATCACAGCCATGTGCCACCACATCCAGCCCCACACAGGTCTTAATTGTAAAAGTAGAATTTCAGAGGAGAGATTCAAATATCAGCCTAGAAAAGTTGCTTATGCCAAAGTCAGAGGCATAATAAGGAAGAACAAGGACTCTGAGACTGGTCAAATATGATGAAAATCCTTGATCCTCCTGATTCCCCTGAACCTTTAGCCCTACAGAATTAGCTCATTTATTCAGAGGCCTCATATAAGTAGCTGATTTGTAAGACACCATTAGCCCTCCTTATGATCTGCCCTCACTCCCCTCTTGGCCATCAGATCAGTCACTAGAGTTAAATCTCAGGATGACTCTACTGAGGAAGTGCTGGACCTGTTAGAAGAGAGAGATTAACGTGCCAGAGCTTGCCAGACCTGGCTGACATGTAGTGGCAAGAACTGGGAGCTTCTGCCTGTGAGTGGCATGCAGATCAAGTTGGGAAGAATGTAAAGTTGGGTAGAGGAAGCTTTATTACTGTGGGCCACTTTTATGAACCAGGATGCGACTGGGAGGCTGATCTAATAGCTGCTAGTTAGGCTCTTAGGAAGTTTGTTTAAAGTGGTAGCTCATATTAAATGAAGCAGAGAGTCAGAATTGCTACAGCAAATTGTGGACCAAATACTAAAGAGGCTCAGAGAACAGACCATGCTAGGATGAATCCTCTGTATAAGACCAGAAAACCCACCATCTATCTGACTTTGTCCCTCAGGGGGTTACCTAGGGAATTTGCCAAGTGCATTCCAGTGAGAGGGCACTAGTATTGTTAAAAGGCTCAACACTGGCCATGTTCTGTAGGCCAGATGCTCTCCTAGGCCTAGTTCCCTAGTTTGCAATGGGAATGATAGGGTCCCGAGGAGAAGAGGCCAGGTGGCAGCACTAACTTCCAAAGAAAGATGGCCAAATTGTCTAACTGCCAGCCAGGAGGCCTGATTCACAAGGATCTATGGAAATAGCTGATGGGCCATGGTAATCCTAAAGTCAGTGTGTCAGATTTAGCAAATAAAAATTTAGGCCATGGATGGTGGTGTGTGGTAGGGCACTTGCCTAGTATGCCTGAGGCCATAGATTCAATCCCAGGACTAGAAAAACAAAACTAAACAAACATATATATGTATTTAATTTGTATAAAATATTTGAGTATTTAATATAGTTAAATATATGTTTAATTTCAGATAAACAACAAGTAATTTTTTAGTATAATGACATTCCCAAAAGAATCCAAGAATGGACAAACAGATGGCTGAGGTGAGTTTCCCCAATGGGAAGTCACAATTTCCTTTTGAGTGTCCAGAACTGAGTCAATTCTTACACCAGGACCCATCAACAAAACTAAAGGCCAGATCCCCATAGGTCACTTCAACATGATGGCATGTGTATAAAATATAGTAGTGATCCCACAGTGTCCTCCCCTGCCAGAGGACCTAGCAGGGTCCATATACTGGTAGAAGCTGAGTGACTATGGGACATCGACTAATCATTAATCCAGAACTGCCTGTTATTAACCGGGCACTGTCAGATCCATCAAGTCATAAGGTCAGATGGGTGGAGTGATAAGATGGAGTGAATACAACTCAGATCAAGCATGAATGAGGGTAGAAGCTGTAGCACTGGAGTAGCTGGTCCTGACCCCTGTGCTGCACCACTGCTTCACCCTTGGCCCCGCCTTGTGGTGGGCTGCACCAGCTGACAACAGAGAATAAAGCCCAAGCTTTGCCAACAGATCAGCTCAGTGTGTGGATGCAAGCCAAAAACAGAATGCTATAGGCCCGCAGCCCCCACCCAGGGATGGCCTTGAAGACAGCAGTAAGGGGAATTTCTCCCAAAGGTCAGAGTATCTAGCATCTCACCTGGTCATCCACTTTATTTGGAAAGAGAAGTAGCCTAATGTTAGAATATATAGATTCATGGGTTGTGGTAAATGACTTAATTTATCAGTCAGGAGCCTGGAGCAAATAACTGTAGAAGATTGGGGACAGAGACATATTATGAAGTGTGAAGGTCTTTGTGTCACATGTTAGCATCCACCAGAAAACATCTATCATGGAAAATACCTACAACACGAAGTAGAAGAAAATAACTTGGCAAGTTAATGTCAACTAGCCTCTGTCCAGAGCCATCTCAACACTGGAACCACGGGAATAAGAATGTAGTCACCATGGTGGCAGTGGTGGAGGTTATGCCTGAGGATGGCACTGTGGGCTGGCCAAATCTGACCTAGCTACTGCCACTGTTACAACTGTATCCAATGCTGAGTCCCTGATTTGGCATCATCCTGGAGGAAAATAACCAGTCGCTTCTTGGTAAGTGGATTATAATGGATCCTTTCCAAAGAAAACCTGGAAAAATCTCAATTCATTTGATGGGACACATCAATTCATTTGACATAATCTGGGTATGGGTTTGACTTTCTTGCCTGCAGTGCCTCAGCTAGCTCTACAATCCAAGAGTTCACATGCTGCCTGATCCAACATTACCGGATCTTGCATACATCAAAACAGAACAGGGGACCCACTTACAACAAGGTGTCTGTGGACATATGACATGGGATCCTCTGGTGCCATGCTGCATTGAAGCTGCCAACCCAATAGATCAGTAGAATAGCCTTTTGAAGACATAACTAAGGTATCAATTCAATAACACCCTTCCAGGATTGGGCACTATCCTTTAGAATATGTTATCCTGAACTATCCATCTTAAACTAATGACTGTTGTAAGGTAGTGTGTCTGCAGCAGGTAGAATACATGTGTCCAGGATCAAGGGTCAGAAGTAGAAGCACCCGTGCTCACCATTACTCCCGGTGACCCACTTAGGACATTTATACTTCCCATCCCATAACTCTAGGCTCAAGTTTCTAAAGGCCACGGTTTCCAGAGGCAGATACTTGCACCACAGCAAACAGCAAGATTCCTAATAACTTTAAGAGACCTGTAGAAAAAAATTTTTTACCCTCTCAATAGAGTATATCTCTCCTTATCATCAGGAGGAGGCAGGGCCACAGGGATCAGGGGAAATAGACAGCACCCAAGGGTTCTCTGGGACATGTCTACAAAGTTGACAGTAAGTGGGCAATCAGCAGCTAGAACCTGAAAGCCTGTGGGGACCAGGGGCTCAGACGCCTCCATGTCTTCCCTTAGGTCAGCGGAGGTGCCAGCTGGGGGCTGGGAATCATCCAAATTGGATAACAAAGAAAAGAGGTAACAAGGATCAGATGGAACCCCCCCCCCAGCGCCCGAACAGCTATGGGAGTACAACTGTAGCTTGTCCCACTAACTGCTTTTATAAGCTTCTCCAGCATAGAGATCAACCAGGATTCTTGAAGGGCTGTTTATGGATGGAGTAAAATTATTATAGGAGCAAATGGCTCTGAACAATGCAGGAGTGAATCATGGGGAGATGGTGTGGCACCACCCAGGCTCCCCTTTAGGACTGCCCCCTCCCCCATATGCTGGGATCACTGTGCCGTGAGAACTCACAGGTGAGCCTTGTCAGGTACCAAACTCAGGAGAAGCAGCTGCTTCGCCCCCCTTCACATCCATCTCTGGGAACAAACAGCTCCCATCCAAAGACTGGATGGTGTGCTCCTCACCCAAACCCAGGACAGCTTTAAAAGGTCCTCCCAGCCTGAGAAGCCATCCTGTTCTGGACTCGCCTTTTCTCTTCCTCATCTCCTGGCTTCGGACATGACGCTTCCTCTGGACATTTGCCTGTCCTCCTCTCGACCTGGTTCATTCCTGTTCATCCTCAAATTTCAGATTATATGTCACCTGCTCAGAGAGACCTCGACCCCCGGACCCTCTTGGGTGCCCCCTTTCACCCCCACAGCACCAGTGTGTCCTCTTTCTTAGTATCATTCTCCTGAAGTGATCTGTTTCCTGATCACCTTACTTTCTTCATCCACAAGGACTACAGATCTCATTCCTGCTGTCTTACCATCACCAAGCACAAAACAACAGCACAGAAGGCACTAAATATTTACCAAGTGAATTTTGCCAAAATGTTTTCTAGTGTCCTAGCCTGCAACAAGTTAGATGATCTGCTTGAGACTAGGTTCCCTCAAGTTTGAAATGGGAATATAAAAATAATACCTACTGCTGGGCGTGGTGTCGCATGCCTGTAATCCCAGCCACTCAGGAGGCTGAGGCAGGAGCATCACAAGTTCAAAAGCCAGCCTCAGCAATGGTAAGGTGCTAAGCAACTCAGTGAGACCCTGTCTCTAAATAAAATACAAAAATAGGGCTGGGGATGTGACTCAGTGTTTGAGTGCCCCTGAGTTCAGTCTCCAGTGCCTAATAATAATAATAATACCTTCCTTGGAGGGTTTTTGTTCTTGGTGCTAGGGATTGAATGCATGGGCACTTTATCACTGAGTATATCCTCAGCCCTTTTTGGTTTGAGACAAGTTCTCACTAAGTTCCTGAGGGTCTTGCTAAGTTTCCCAGGCTAGCCTCAAACTTGCAATCCTCCTGTTTCAGCCTCCCGAATCACTGGGGTTACAGATGTGTGCCACTGCACCCAGCTGGAGGGTCATTTTGAGGATTAAAAGAGATGTATCAGTAAAGCCCTGAGCATAGTGCCAGGACATAGTAAACAACTCACACTTAGACAAGCAGATTTTGAGGCTGCTACTCTTTACTCTTTCTAATATTGAGTATTATGTTTTATTGTTGTAAAGGTAACACAGGGAAACAGGGTTTATCATGATTTCACACCAACATGTATTTTCAAGCCGAAAGCTCTTGTTATAATGGATGGCTCCATCCTGCAACTCCATGCCAGGGACACCATAAAGAAAGCAAATGTTCGGTGCTTCTCTCTCTTCCTGTAACAGTTGGTGGGTGGGTGGGGCAGATATCTGAGAAAGGCGCCCTGAATGTGGAGGTACTCCACACATGGCCCAGGCAACTAAATGGCAGGGTTTCTCACAGCTCCTTCAGGATTTGTCTCAAGTCCTCTTGCTCAACCTTAGGAGAAGTCTATGAGGCCCAGCTTTTCTCGGCCAGTCCAGGTGGAGGCCTCTGCCTCCAACATTTCCAAGTGACGTAGAACCACAGACCCAGAGGCCCCTCTGCACTTCCTGTGTGGTGTTCAGAAGCCCGCCTCCCCTCTCAGCCTCAGGTGCTTGCTTCAGAAAATGGTGAGTCTCCTCATATAGTGCCTCCCTTTTTCATCCTGGCATTGAGAACAATGACTCTAGGGCCCTTATATCCAGCAGATGTTTTGAAGACATCCTCTGGTTTCCTTTTCAGAAGTAATAAGCTGACTCTTCACCGTCTCAGTAGAGTGAGTGTCCAGTGAGAGAAGGATGCAGTCAAGCACTCTCTGGGGAGTTCTGGGACTCTGCCTCCTATCAGGTAAGTAGATTGGAATAAAGAAGGGTGGTGTTTCTCCAGTCCACTGGAAGCCTCAGAGACTTACTCGTGCAGCCCAGTCATACCAAAGAGCCTCATTTACCAGAAGATGTAAGGGACTGTGCTATCGGTTAGGGTTGGGGATTGAGGTCGGAAGCAAACAAAAGAAATGTGCAGGTGCCTAGGGCATCATTCAGGGAATAGCCAGGGAGAAGCAGTTGACAAGATCATATCAATTGAGAGCAAAAAGGTCTCTCTGCCACCAAGAAGAAGCCCACCCCAGTTCTTACTAAGCCCTTAAGAACTAACACAAGACATTAGAAGAGCTAAGCCCCAGCCTTTGTTTTGGGGAAATCAGACAGTTAAACCTAAACTCTGCACATAGTAGAACAAATTTAGTACCTTTAAAACAAACACCTCACAATTTTCAGTCCTTTTTGGATGCCCAAGAGCTTTCAATTAGTTTAGTCTTTTTTGAAACAAGGCAGGACATGAATTGATAAATAACCGAGAGCATTTGCATATCTCATGAGATAAATAATACAAAAAAAGTTGCCATTTATTGAGTGTCTGTACTATACAAAGAAAACTCCATTACATGCATTAACTGATTTAATCCTTACCTCCACCTTGGAGGAAAGATGTTATACCCTCTATTTTATGAAGAAATTAATACTCAAAGAAGTTAAATAACATTTAAAACCATACTGTTAGTAATTGCAGAAGCTGATCCAAGAAATCGGGACTATCTGTCCACAAGGCCTGTGCTCAGAATGGCCGCATTGCATGAGGCAAAATGGCTCCTGATAGTTTTATTTCAAAAGCCTAGGAAATACTGTCTCAGCTTGGGCTCCTAACTCAGAGCCACAGCCATGGTGTCTTCACTTCCTGCTTCATCTTGGGTTGTTTTCTTAAGCTTGAACACAAAAATCACCTGGGAACCCTGTTAAATTGCAGCTTCTATTTCAAGAGGCCTGGAATGGAGACTGAGAATGTGGGCATTATGAGAATGTGCCCAAAATGCTCTTGTTACCGGACTGCTGGGCCATAGGCCCAACTCTGGGGGTCCCAACAAATCAGATCTGGCCACCTGCCCCAAAAACCAAATGGAAAAAGTAATGACGAAAAGCAGAAAAGGAACTGTAATCAAGATGGCCATATTGGGGGCTGGGGATGTGGCTCAAGCGGTAGCGCGCTCGCCTGGCATGCGTGCGGCCTGGGTTCGATCCTCAGCACCACATACAAAGATGTTGTGTCCGCCGAAAACTAAAAAATAAACATTAAAAAAAAAAATTCTCTATAAAAAAAGATGGCCATATTGGGAAGGCAAATGAGATCAAGCTTCCCAGTCCTGTCTTTGGGATACTGATGTGTTAGGTTTAAACAGAAGAAAAACTGAGGCAGTGGACAAGTAGTATGCAGAATTAAATAATCTTGGTTAAACTGTGTCCTGGTTGATTATTATCTCAGTTCTGGTTCTACAAGGTGGCTCCAGGGAAGTCCTTGTCTCTTGAAGAGACAATCTCCCTTTGCTTCACAGGATGTTTATCAGACCTGGATCCTGGTGGGGACAATTCAGCTCCCAGGAGATAATTGCTCTTGCTTCAGGGTAGGGGGATGGTCTCATCAGGAAATTATCTGCCTTCAATTTTTCACTATTCCTGGAATGTCTAGGAGAATGACTGGAGACTTCTACGCATTGCTCGAGGGGGTCTGGAACAGGAGCTTTTTAAAAGCCAGCAGTTGAATGTCCCTGAAAATCTTAAAAATACCTTACTTACCTTTATTTTGGTGTCTTCAGTCTGAAGGGGACAGAATGCCAGCTTGAGATGAACACTCCTTAAATGATTAACATACCTATGTGCAAAATTGAGCAGGATTCTAACACAAAAGTTTAAGTTAATAAATAAAACTGGAGCTGGGCACAGTGGCACATGCCTGTAATCCTAGCAGCTGAGGTAGGAGGATCACAAGTTCAAAGTCAGCCTCAGCAAAACAAGACACTAAGCAATTCAGTGAGACCCTAAATAAAATACAAAATAGGGTTAGGGATGTAGCTCAGTGGTCGAGTGCCCCTGAGTTCAGTCCCTAGTACCAAAAAACAAACAAACAAAAAAAAAAAAAAAAATACTGGATACTAAATGAAGGTAACTTTTAGTTACCCATAGGGCATCTGTAGGCCCAAGTGAAAAGTCAGTACTTTTTAGCAAAGGCAACCTATCTAAGTACCTGTTATTCTCTGGGGATTAAAGAGTATCTCACCCAACATAGAGGCTATTGGTGAACAGAAAACTCTCAGGCAGTGCCAGGGAAACTGGTCACTGTAATGAATCTAAGTCATGCTTAAGTGACGGGATTTGGGAGAGTCCAGAGGAAATGTGATCAGGCTCTTTAACGCATAGGCTCTAGGTTATGAGTGACTGGGGTTTCAAATATTTCCACTTGTCTCTAGCAGAAAACAAATGGAAAAACTGAGCCATCCAACAAGCAGAAGCCAGAAATGGAACAAGAATCCCGACGTTTGTAGCCAAACAAAAGCTCATTTTTTTTTTCCACAGTCAGAGACCAGTTTCAAAATGGAGGCTTAGTTGCAAAATTCTTTTGCTATTTCTCTTGTCAGACAAAAAGCAGCCCCAACTTATTCTAACTTCTGTTTGTTGAATATTGTGTTGTCATGTTTAATGCTGTACGGTTCCTTTCTCTTTCTTCCCAAATTGATTGGATCAATCCCCAGCAGTAAAAGGCACTTTTCTAAAGTGTAGAAGCCACTGAGATCATACAGTGGCTGGAAAGAACTTTAGATGGTCATTAATATAATTCCATTATTTGGAATTGCATGCACTCACAATATTTTCTAACTCTTTTTTTTTAACTATTTATTTTCCAGTTGGTGCTTGGGGGCAGGAAGGTAAGATATGCTCTCTTCACTATGAAATCAATCCAGGATTCTTAGTACAATCGTGTACTGACAAACAATGTTTCAGTCAACAACTAACAGTATATACAATAGTGGCCCCATAAGATTGTAATGACTCTGAAAATTCCCTATCACCTAGTATTTTTGCTATACATTTTCTGTTTAGATGTGTTTAGATACACAAATACCACTGTGTTGTAGCTGCCTATAGTATTCAATAGAGTAACATGCTATACTGGTTTGTAGCCTACAAGCAATAAGCTACACTTTATAACCTAAAATGTATAGTAGCTATACCATCAAGGTTTGTGTGACACTCTATGACATTCATATAATGACAAAATCATCTAACATCATATTCTCAGAAACCAACTGTATTTGTGAGTGGAGAGCTTCCTCTTGGCCTCCCACAGAGCTTCCTCAGAGACCAGTGAAAGGGTTTTCTACTATTCTCTTTTGCCTTTTCCTGATGAAGCTAGCCCAGAATAGGGAATCAGAGATTATAGTAAGAAGCCAGTCTTGATTCCAAAAAAGAATTGAGACTGTTAAAATAAGTTGAAAGTACCAACAGTTTTCTTTTGCTAGCCTCTCCTATTTGATGTGCAATTTTGTAAAGAATGTGTGGCTGGCCAGAATGCATGCTCATGGTTGCCTGGATCAACCTCAGGGCAGCATTTTGCTGCACATTCAGAATCACATCTGAATACTCTGAATGTGTGTGCCAGGTGTGTCTTTGTGTGCACATGCATACAAGTGTACCGGGCCTGGACTTACTTTCTCAACCACAGCAATAGAGTCCATAGTGTCCCAATACTGGAAAAGTCTATTCAATAGCTCCTCCAAATTGAGGGAACAGCTACTATGTTCAAAAGCAGAAATTGTGCCAGTCTACTTTCCACTGGGCTGCCTGACTTGTGGTGTCCTTGGCAGTTATTTTTACAAATGGCCATTAGGTATTTAAGGTAGAAGTAAGATCCAAGACAGCTTGTGATACATAGCTGAGAGACTTGAAGATCCTTTGCTTTCTGGCAATTGAGGGAAGAGTCCTAACCCTTGAGGTCAGGGCTTATCTTAGTTGCTGATAGGAATGTCACTCATGGTTTTTTATCATTTCTTTTTCAGATGATGAAGAAAATGGTAAGGGCATTTTTCTTCTGTACAACCTCTTTTCAAATGTGAAACAACATGGTCATAGAGAACACTCTCAGTAGTAAATAGTGAGAATCAGAACCAGTAGCAGGAAAAATACAATCACCTTTCAATGGGATCTGTATGAGATATGCCTGTCTTTGTTGCTAGCTGTCATGCTGGACTATAATAGCTATGCATGTATATATCCATCCCTGAACTTACTGCTACAGAAAAACACACATCTGGGCGTGGGTTGGAGCATCCATGGATTTTTGTACAAAAATTTATCCATGAGTTTGTTTACCTGGTCCAATGTCTAGTCCACAGAAGGTGCTCAGTGAATATTTTTTGAATGAGTAAATGAACAAAAATATAAATGCTTTGCTAATTCCTTCTCCTCGGGGATCCACCTGTCTTGTATGAAAGACCAAAAAAATGATATTAAAGTGTGTTGTATGCCATGATATGGGTAGATACAGAGTAAAATGAAGTATAAAGAGAGGAATGGTCAACTCTGCAGAATGTAATTGAAGAAGGCTCCCTGGGGGTGGCAATTCTTGAGCTGAGTTTTAAAGGATGAACTGGTATTTTGAAGAAAAGAGAGACTTTAGGCAGAAGAGAGAAGGGCATACAGTGTGAGGTTAAAGGTCTAACTCTGAAGCTGGATGGCCATGTTTGAATCCTGGTCCAACTCCCTAGTTGCTATATGTCTGAACAGTTAACTTCTCTTTGTACATCATCATGTATAAAATGGAAATAATAATGATACCCATTTTATGTTATTATAAGTGTTGAAAGAGTAATTCTTTTGAATTCTTAGACATTACCTGACCTATAGAAGGCAGTATGTGAATTTCAGCTATTATTATATAGAAAGCACACTGAATCTAGATAATAAGCATTAAAGTGTATTAGATATGTGTGTTCTAGATATTGCCCTAAATATCTTACCCAGATTTCCTCATTCACTTCTTCTAACATTCCTTCTCTACAGATAAGAAAACAAAGACTTACAAAATGGATAGATAACCCAATCATAAGGCATAAGTGTAAATTTATAAGATACTGAAGTTCATTTTCTTAACCATTATGAAATACCATGTGTTTACAATCTTTGTGAACATACCTATTTGTAGACATAGACACATCTAAGCCCTTGTATGAGCACATGTAAATCTAAGCTCTGCTACTGAATTTGTGCGAGTAAGGGTTGTAAGCAATTTTTTTTTACATTTGTTTTTCAAACAAACCCACCAAGCCAAGCATACTGTCTATTTACTTTTAACTTATTTGCGATTTCTGATTCACATAATATTTCTAAAAAAATAAGTGCTGAAAAATTTTTAAATCAAAATAATACCATCTATTGTCATTATATTCAACTTCCAATTTATCACCAGATGGAGAAGGATTTGTTTATGTTGTGTACAGTCACAGCCAAATGACTATCTGGGTGGCAGAGTCAAAGCTCAATTCTGTTCTCTATGGTATCAGGACCCCAAGAAAGAAAGGAGAAAAGAAACTAACATTTTTCTTTTTTTTAAGTTTTAAAAAAAATTTTTTAGTTGTAGATGGACACAATACATTCATTTTATTTGTTTATTTTTATGTGGTGCTGAGGATTAAACCCAGTGCCTTATATGTGCCAGGCAAGCGCTCTACCACTGAGCTACAACCTCAGACCCCAGAATCCATTTAATTCTTACAAATGGAGATTTCCCTGATGAAGAAACTGAGGTTCAGAGATGTTAAATGACTTCCATTGCACACATAGAGTAGGGCAGATCTGAGATACAGACACAAGATTTATGTCTCAGAGTCCAGTGCTCTTTATCCATTACCACAGTGTCTCTGAGATAATATAAAGCCACTTTTTATTGGGAGAATAATTTCCTTAAAATGTGTAGAGTGATTCACATCATTTAAAGGCAATAACAGAGAAAAGTACATGGAATAAAAAGAAAGGTATTTGATTTCTATTACAAAAGACTTTGTTAGTTATAAGAAAGAATTTCTGGCTGGGCACAGAGGCACATCCTTATAATCCCAGTGGCTCTGGAGGCTGAGACAGGAAGATCATGAGTTCAAAGCCAGCTTCAGTAACTTAGCAAGATCCTAAGTGACTCAACAAGACCCTATCTCTAAGTAAAATATAAAAAAGGGCTGGGGATGTGGCTCCATGGTTAAGCGCCCTAGGTTTAATTCCCAGTACAAAAAAAAGGAAAAAAATTTCTGGGGTTGGGGCTGCAGCTCAATGATAGAGCACTTGACTAGCATGAGCAAGGCCCTGGGTTCCATCCTCAGTACTGCAAAAAAAAAAGGGGGGGGGGGCGGTGAATTCCTAAATAAAGAGACATAGGTAAGGCCAAGAATCAGTGACCCAAATATGTGAAAGATTTTTTTTTTTATCTCTGAGAAGATCCTTTGATATTTATCTGAAAGATAATCTAGCTAATGCAAGAAGATAAACCTGAAGTTTTTAGACTGAGTTGCAGTCCTGGGCCTAGGAGCACATGCTGCCACGCTTGCAATTTGCTGTACGTGAGTCATGTCAATAAGTGTATCTCAGAGGCTAAGTGCACACATCATTTTCAAGACTGGGGCTCCCCTCTCTGGGAACTGATAGGGAAAGTGTTTAGACCCATTAGAAAAATTTTACCTCAAATTTAAACTTAAGCTGGGCATGGTGGAACACGCCTGTAATTCAGGAGACTGAGGCAGGAGGATCACAAATTCAAAACCAGCCTTAACAACTTAGGGAGACCCTGTCTCAGAGTAAAAAATAAAAAGGACTGGGAGTGTGGCTCACTGAGAACACCCCTGGGTTCAATTGCCAGTACAAAAAAAAAAAAATTAAACTTAAACCAGGACTTTTTCTTTCTAATCTTTCTTTTTTTTTCTATTTGCAGATGACCTAACACAGATACGTGAGTTTATGGTCCTTTAATTATGCTTTGTCTGAAGATGCAATTTGGTGGATTGTAAAGAAAGTAATTGAGAAAGATTAGCCTCAAAAACTGAGGGCCCCCAAAAAAACCAAACGCTGGATGTTTTCTTTGATATAAGGAGGCTGATTCATAGTGGGATAGGGAGCCCGAGCATGGGAGGAATAGACGAACTCTAGAAAGGGCAGAGGGGTGGGAGGGGAAGGGAGGGGACATGGGGTAATTAATGATGGTGGAATGTGATGATCATTACTATCCAAAATACATGTATTAAGACACAAATTGTATGAATATATTATGTATACAACCAAAAAACAAAAGAACTGAGGGCCCCTCAACATTATGTGCCGAACTCCCATTTTAGAAAAGTTTCAAATAGGGACCTTCGTGGGGTTTTCTTTACTTCCATCCTTCCCTCCCCAAGTTCCAATGTTCCTGCCTATAACTGAAGCCAGCTTTCAGAGGGTGGTCCCTTCCTCACACACTCTCTAGCCAGTAGCGGGTAAAACCAGGATATGAATTTTATTGATTCTTTTGTCATTAGTTTGACCTTTGGAGAATTTTTCTGGTTTCTCCCTCCGATTTCCTTTCTCTTTTCTCTCATTCCTCAGAATACAAAGTCTCCATCTCGGGAACTGATGTGATGCTGACATGCCCTCCAAAAGCTCTGCAGGGCACAATAAATTGGGAAAGAAATGACAAAAAACTAGAAGGCGAAAATGACGAACAACTGTTACTGAAGAATTTTTCAGAAATAGATAACAGTGGTTATTACGCCTGCTACACAACCCCAAGACAAAAAGAGAATATCCATTTTCTGTACCTGAGAGCTAGAGGTAACATTCTCCATGACTTCTCCAACCCAACTCACAGTCCTCTGATGTCCCAGAGCTTCCTTGTATACTCAACCCTGGGAGTGTCCAAGGCCACACAGCATCAGTATTTTCTAGAACAGATTAAAAAACAATTTGGGGCTGTTTGGATAATCTCAGTCAGCTCTTGTTCTAAAATAGCAACTTCCCAAGGGACAGGCTTGGGTCATTTGGATTATGTCACACCCAGAATTACAATATGAGTTTATCTGATGCTTTATCCAGAGATACATTCTTTAGAGGGACTTGCAAAGGAAGCCATAGCCACTGTTTTTAAACCGTCTAAACTAGAGTATAATAATGAAATCACAAGGAGAGCTAACATTTATCGAGTGCTTATAAAATTTCAAGCACTGAACTTGCCAGGGATTTTTTTTCCATGTATTCCTCTCAAAAGCCATATGAGTTAAGTACTACTTTATTACCATTTCGTAGATGAAGAAACAGAGATTTTGTGAGTCAAAATTACATTGCACAATTCCCATAACTAGTGAGTAATGAAGCTAGGACTTGAACCCAAGACCGTTGAACTATAGCTTGCTAATTGTTATCGTTGTTATAAACATATTGAAGGGAAGGGCCTGTGGCAAGTGTGTGAGTATTGAGGGGAAAATCACCTTCATCTGTTCCTCCCCCTTCTCCAGTGCCCTGATATCTTCCCTTCTCTGTCATTTCTCTTCTCTCTGCCCCTGTAGTGTGTGAGAACTGCGTAGAGGTGGATCTGACGGCTGTGGCCACAGTCATCGTAGTCGACATCATTGTCACTCTGGGCTTGCTGATGCTGGTTTATTACTGGAGCAAGAATAGAAAGGCCAAGTCCAAACCTGTGACACGTGGAGCAGGCGCTGGTGGCAGGCCCAGGGGTAAGAGCTGTGTCAGAGAACATTCCCATCAAGGTGGCGTCCAGCCTGGGACAGGGTGGGCAAGTCCCCAGGAAAGTTGAAACTGCTTCCTTAGAACATTTACTGTTCTACCAAAGTCTCCTTCTCCAAGACCTCTCCTTCCCACCCTAGAAAAGTGTGACCCCACTTAGGAAAATGAAGGGCTTCCTCAAATGCTTATCAGTGCTCTGCAGTAATCAGATCCCACCCCCAGGCTGTGAGAAGAGAGACTTTGGGGTGTTCCTGCCTTTTCCTTTCTGTTCCCCCATGGAAAGAAATGATGGGAGGACTTGGGCTAAGGAAAGTCACAAAATGATAAGAACAGTGTGGGGGTCCTTAGGGATGGGATTGAAGAAAGAAAATGAAAAGGGCACTGGATAGAAAATGGGAGATTGTGGAGGAGAGACAAAGGGGACTGTCAACCTTGAGCTGGGTCTCACTGGGGCACTCAGCACTGCAACATTGGGGTTCCCCCTGGAAATGAATACTTCTCCCTTCCCTCCTCTGTAGGACAAAAGAAGGAGAGGCCACCACCTGTTCCCAACCCGGACTATGAGGTAACAGGGATGGAGTGGACAGGGAGAGGTGGGGAGGAAGAGCATGCCCTTCTAGGGGGAGGGAACAGGTAGGACTGTCCCTCTCTCACCTGCCAGATACTTTGAAGGCCCTCATTCAGGGTTCCTAGGACAACTCACCATGAGACCACTTCTGCCTCTTTCATGGCAGAACAGACTAAGAGGTTGTGTGGCTTCCACACCCATGAAGGTGGGAATATACCTCTCTCTCTGGTTCATTCATTGGCTGGGATATAGCCGTGGAACATCACGTATGTGAGGTCTAATATGATAAATTCAGGACTGATGTTGCACTAGCATATACTAATGTAGTCAATCAGTTATTGAAATATGATAATGGTTTCATTGGTAAGTAGCCCCAAGCCTCCTGCCATCGCACCCACACATACACTCTCAGACATCACAGCCCATCCCTCTGCCTCTTGACCTGGTGACTAAGCAGCTAATGCCTGGCATAGGGGAGGACCACCAGAATTGTTCTCATTGGTTGGTGGGTGTGCACTAATAGTTATCACATATTTTTATTGTCACACTTGGACTCATTCTACAAATATTTATTGAGCACCAGCCAAGCATGTGATATTTACTTTCCCATGAGTGACTTCATTTAATCCTGACAAAAGCCCTGAGCACTTGCCTAGCATAAGAAAGGGCCTAGGTTCAAAACCCAGTATTTCTCTCTCTCTCTCTCTCTCTCTCTCTCTCTCTCACACACACACACACACACACACACACACACACACACACCTGAGAGGTGAGTCTTTAGACTCCCATTTTTAAAATAGGAAAGTTGAGGCTCACAGAAGTACAGAATCCATGCAAGTCTACTACCTGTAAGGACCAACTTGGAATTCCCAGGTGCCTCCTGACTCGAAGCACAGCATCTTTCTACTGCACTACAGCTAGATCTCCAGAGCCATTCTCCCCCATGAGCTACTTCCTCCACCCCTCTAGCCACCCCTCTCTGTTCTACCCACAGCCCATCCGGAAAGGCCAGCGGGACCTGTATTCTGGCCTGAATCAGAGAGGAATCTGACAGCTCTGGAGGATCGCCTACGTCTGCCTCTCCCTAGGCACCCTGCAATTCCTTGTTCCCTGGACAAGTTTTGGACCCTACAAGAGAATTGTTCTTCAGTCTCACGGTGAACTCACAACATCCTGCAGAATTGTCTTTGGCTCGTTCCTTCCTGCCATCTCTACCTGCCGCCCAGTTCTAGGATTTTTCTGCTTCATTGTCCTTTGAAACATCATGGCTATTCAACCCCTTACACCCAGCCTGCCTGTCAGGATATTTCTGCCTTCAAATCCCTCCTTTCTCTGCATATAAATTGTCCCTCATTCTGTAATCACAGTGGCTTGGGAGGCTGAGGCAGGAGGATCTCAAGTTCGGAGCTAGCCTCAGCAACTTAGTGAGGCCCTAAACAACTCAGTGAGACCTTGTCTTTAAATAAAATATATAAAAGGGCTGGGGATGTGGCTCAGTATTTAAGTGCCTCTGGGTTCAATTCCCAGTACCAAAAAAAAAAAAAAATGTTCCCTCATTACTAACAATTTCATTTAACTTTCCATTTTCCCAGCTCTCTCTCTCTGCAGCCTTCTTTGTGGGGGACTGGGTAAATGTTGGCAGAAGCCCTGTCCCATTCACAGATCCTGGCCCAGAGTCAGCCCTGAGCCCCCTTCCCTGGTTCTTACTGCAGGCTACTGGATGATCATTCGCAACTCCATGAATGCATGTAAGCTCCTCTCTACTGACAGAGAAAACAAATAAAGTGTGTTTGGCTGAAAGAATTGCTGTCTCTCTTTTCTGGCATGTCCTCAGAGGCTACCTTGCTTCACAAGATAACTCAGGTGTTCCCCACCTTTGGTTCCAGTTAGTACTCACATTTAATATTCCATTTAGTACTGCAAGTACTACCTGTTTTTCCGGCTGGTAGAGGTATTATCTGAAGCTCTCTTTAAAGAGGGAAATAGAGGCAGAGATGGGGAGGTGCAGATACAGAAAGTTTAATTCCTCTTGGAGGAAAACGCCAAAGGTGGCAGAGAGTGACTGATGGGTCCCTGATGGAGAAATCAGGTCATAAAATGGGCAAGATAGAAGTAATCCCAGCAGCTCGGGAGGCTGAGGCAGGAAGATCATGAGTTCAAAGTCAGCCTCGGCAACTTAGCGAGGCCCTAAGCAACTCAGTGAGACCCTGTGTCTAAATAAAATATTAAAAAAGACTGGGGATGTGGCTCAGTGGTTAGGCGCCCCTGGGTTAAATCCAAAAAAAAAAAAAAAAAAAAAAGTCCATAAAAAGGTACATCCAGGTAACAGAAATGAACAGTGGAGGTATAAGGGGGGCCTTGGGGATGGGACACAGGTTTCTGCAAACTGCCAGGAAGAGCTGCTGAGCTGGGCTGGGGGCAGTGGAGGAAGGAGGTACCCCTCCCTCCTGCTCTAGAGGCAGCTGCCTGCAGCTAGAAGCGCTGCTGCGGGTAAGCCGCACAGGATGTGGGCTGCACTGGCATGGGGGGGTGCAGCAGCCGGGGGCCCAGGCCAGTGTGGGAAGGCTTTGTTCTCAGTCTCCCCTGGCTCACAGTCAGCTTGCTGAGAGAGGAAGCCAGAGCATGAGCAAACTGTGCTAGTCCAGCTCAAACCAGCGTACTCTCTCTGCACTCAGAAATCTCCCTTGACCAAAGAGCTAATTACAAATGTGACCACAGCTAAAATTACCTTTTGTGAATAGCACAAAAGTGTGAGCATCCTGCACATGCTCAGCCTTGGGCTGTGGCTACAAGATTCTGATTGTTGGCCCCTGATGAAGGGTCACTTCTTTCCCTGTAAGCATCAGCACTTAAGCTCAGAGCCTCAGTGACCTTGCCCATCACTAACTGTTGATCAGTAGGCTGGCCCAGGGATGGCAGGTGTTGTCCCAGGTATATTTGATTATGCACAGTCAAGGGAAGACATAGCTCAGCATGATAAAGACAATAATAACAGCTCACACTTATTGAACATTTACTATGCTCCAGAAACTGTGCTTGGCCCTTCTTCACAGCTGTAATCTGATTTAATCTTTAGAATGACTCCACAAGATAGATGTGTTGCTCTTGCTTTACAAATGAGGATAGTGAGGCTCAGAGAAGTTAGGTCTTTTGCTCAAGTCACAGTTAGTGAAGGGCAGGGCTGGAATCAGTAGCCAGGGTTATCCAACTACAATGGTCTCAACATCTACCCTACTGACTACGATCTAAGAACTGCTCTCCATCCTGTCAAATGTCCTTGGAAAAATAGATGGACAGGTTGAATGTGGAGTTAAAATAGAGAGCAGGGTTCCTACTTGGGGCAGAGACAGGATAAAGGTGAGGAAGATAAGCAGGATGCCAGGGATGCAGAAAGTAGGAGGGTTATACTTTTTAGAAGAACCACAGATTGCAGTAGGATTACAGTAAAGGTGGGCACAGTGGAGAGGGGTAATGGAGAATAAAGGAAAGATTAAAAAGAGAGAAGATCAATTTCTGACACTGGCCAAGATGGAGTAACAAGAATTGAATTTACCCTTCTGCCTAAACAATTAAAACATGAGACAAAAAAAAAAAAAGTTAAAACAATTTTAAAGACATCGGACAACAGGCAACTGTGGACAATGATTCCTGAGAAATGGGAAGCACGGTGAATCCTAGGATTGCTCCAGTTTATGGTCTAGAAATAATTTCATCTGTGTGGCTCAAGGAGGAAGTACCTAAGGAGAGCCCAGAGATCTCCCTGAGGGCAGGCAAGGAAGATGGGAGGCCAAGGAGTCTTGGAGGAGATTTTGCAGGAGAGAGTGTAAGAGAAGAAAATTCTTAATAAGGACACCAGAGATCTGAAGAGGACCCCTGCAGTCTTCAGCTGAATAGTGATCAATATACGCCAGAGAGGAAACTGCAAGAGGTCCAAGAACCACTTGAAAGAATTAGAGACAGGGTCTCACACAGCACTAGAAATAACTGCTATGACCTCATAATTCAAGGGAGGTTAGGAAAAACTGTGTGCTCACATGACAGAAGAAGCAAGTGATCTCTCTAGAGTTTCTTCCATAAGGCCAATAATCATGTTCATGACCTGCTCACCTTCCAAAGGTCCCACCTCCTAATACTATCACCCCAGTGCTCAGGACTTCAACAAATTGCAGGGTGGGGGGGTGATACAACATCCAGGCCATACAGTTATGAACAATTTTATGCCAATAAATTAAACAACTTAGATGGAAAGGATACACTCCTTGAGAAAGCTCATTGAAGATGAAATAGATATCCTGAATAGCCCTTTATTTATTAAATAAGTTGAATTTGTAGTTAAAAACCTTTTCACAAAGAAAATCCCCAGTCCAAATGGTTCTCTAGAGAAATCTATCAAAACTTTAAGGAAAAAATAATACCAGTTCTATGCAAACTCAGGCAGAAAATTGAAGACTTATCCTATGGAAACCAGACTTACTTGTATTGATTAGTCTAGTTGATTTTATATGTCAACTTGGGCAGGCCACAGTGCCCAGATATTTGATCAAATATACTTGAGTGTAGGCAATAACTTTCTCAATAGGACCCCCAAAGCTCAGGGAATAATGCCAAGTGTCAATAAATGAGAGGGCATCTAATTAAAAAGTTTCTGCCCAACATAGGAAACAATTAAGAATGTGAAGAGAAAACCTGGAGAATGGCAGAAAATCTTTGCTAGCTACTCTTCTGACAGAGGATTAATATCTAGAATATATAAAGAATTCAAAAAACTTTACCCCAAAAATCAAATAACTCAATTAATAAATGAATTAAATAGTTTCTCAAAAGAAGAAATACAAATGGCCAACAAATATATGAAAAAATATTCAACATCATTAGCAATTAAAGAAATGCAAATCAAAACTACACTGAAATTTCATCTCACACCAGTCAGAGTGGCAGCCATCAAGATTACAAATAATAAGGGTTGGGGTTGTGGTTCAGTGGTAGAGTGCTTGCCTAGCATGTGTGGGGCACTGGGTTCAATTCTCAGTATCGCATATAAGTAAATAAAGGTCCAACAACAACTAAAATATATATATTAAAAAAGAAGAATACAAATAATAATAAGTGCTGGAGAGGGTGTGGAAAAAAAGGAACACTTTTACATTGTTGAGATTGTAAATTTGTTCAATTACTAAGGAAATCATATGGGGGTTCCTCAAAAGTTTCTCTACCATAGGATCCAGCTATACCACTTCTCAGTATTTATCCTGAAGAATTAAAGTCATCATATTACAGTGATCAATGCATACCAATGTTTATAGCAGCACAATTCACAATAGCCAACTACGGAACCAGCCTAGATGTTCATCAATGAATGAATGGATAAAGAAAATGGAAGGGCTGGGGATGTGGTTCAAGCGGTAGTGCGCTCATCTGGCATGAGTGCGGCTGGGGTTCGATCCTCAGCACCACACCAACAAAGATATTGTGTCTGCCGAAAACTAAAAAATAAATATTAAAAAAATTTTTTAGAAAATGGAAGATATACACACAATGGAGTTTTATTCAGCAATAAAGAAAAAAAATGAAATTGTGTCATTTGCAGGCAAACAGATGGAACTAGAGATCATTATGTTAAGTGAAATAAGTCAAATTCAGAAGGTTAAGAGTCACATGTTTCCTCATATGTGGAAGCTAGAGAGAAAAAAAGAAAAGAAAGATGGGGTGAGGGGGGATAGTTGAGGATAGGAAAGGTAGCAGAATACAACAGTTACTAATAGAGCATTATGTAAAAATGTGGATGTGTAACCGATGTGATTCTGCAATCTGTATTTGGGGTAAAATTGGGAGTTCATAACCAACTTGAATCTAATGCATGAAATATGATATGTCAAGAGCTTTGTAATGTTTTGAACAACCAATAAAAAAATAAAGAAAAAAAAAAGAAAAAGAAAGATGGGGTGGAGCTAATGAAAATCAAAGGGAGATCAGTAGAGAAAGGGGAAGATGGGGAGGGAGGGGTAAGTGCTAGAGAGTGACACTGGCCAAATTATGTTGTTATATTGTATATTGTATGCACGTTCAAATATGTTACAACAAATCCCAACAGGATGTATAATAATGCACCAATAAAAAGAAGTGGAGGAAAAAAAGAAAAAATACATATCTGGATGTTGCTATGACAATTCTAATCAGCAAATTTCGACTAAAGCAGAATGGCCCTCCACAATATAAATGGACCTCATCCAATTGGTCAAAAGCCTTTGGAGAAAACAGACTGAAGTCCTCTAAAGAAGAGCAGATTCTGCCTCTAGTCTCTCTTTGGACAGCTAGGCCATCAACTCTTTCCTGGATCTCCAGCCTGCCAGCATACCCTGCAGATTGTGGACATGCCAGACTCTACAAATACATCATCCAACTTCTCCAGGGAAACAGAACCAATAAGAGATGAATATATGTGGTTGCCTATTCTTTGGAGAACCCTAATATACCCTGAGATCTAAACCAAAGACATAAGAAAACCACAGACCAAAATCCCTCGTGAATATAGATCCTCCTTCCATGTTTTTTTCTTTGCCAGTCAGCAGCATTTGAGTTAAGCTGATCACTGTTTCATGAAAACTAGACTTACCAGGGTGACCAAAGAAGGACGTGCAATCCCTGCCTTGATCTGGGAACAGGATGGCCTGGGTCAGCACTAGCCCATAAAGGAGTTTTGGTGCACATTAAAGGAGTTACATCTTCTGGGTAGACACAGCTGCACACCAATTCACACTGCTCTATGAGTGGCACCTGGGAAGGATCAGAGCTCCTACTCCAGGTGCCATCATATAGGGCATAACCTGCAGGCAGTGGTAGTCCTGGAGGGCGGTGCTCAGTAGTGGTGTGGGGAGAAGATGGTGACCTAGCTATCCTGGTGCAGCTCCTTTTCTTGCTCCAAAGGACTAGTTTGATTCATCTGGATGAGTTCAAGTGGAAAGGATCCCTTCTCACCACTTGCGATGGTTTGGCTGAAGAGGGAGACCTCTCTAATGGAAGATAATCTTTCGTGTCCAAGTGTGCAGATGGCTGTGCTCCCCTGCTGCCTCCAAGTAGGCTTTCATGGTTTAACTAGGAAGGAACCCAGTGTTGAGTCTTAATTCTGAAAAAATATGCTGTCAATCTGGCTATAGGTGAAGTTTGCATTTTCCCTCTCGATCTTCACCAATTCTCACATTATCTTGGTGCAATCTGTATCCAAGAAGTGAAGCAAATGCAAATGTGGTGAACATTCTCCATTACCAAAATGGGAAAACCATCTTATCTCCTCATCAAAATGCTTACACCAGGAAATCAGCTCTCTTTCTCTCAGAGGCTCAGCTCTGCTGCCTTTGGCCCAGGCAGTATATAGAGTCTTCGAGCAGGAAAGAGGAGCTGGCAAGAGGAAACCACCAGGCAATCCCAAATCTTCCCTCCCTCCTCGCCCCACAATACCAGGGACTGACTCTATGGCACTCTTATCACCGAGCTGCCCAGTCCCAGCCCTTTTTAATTTGTATTCTGATACAGAGTCTCATTAAATTTCTTAGGGCTTTGCTAAATTGCTGAGGCTAGCCTTGAACTCACTATCATCCTACCACATCCTCCTGAATGGCTGGGATTACAGACACATACCACTGTACCCAGCTGGTCCCAGGAGCTTAACAAAATTTCTTATCACAACTTTAGCAAATTTAATTCAATAATATAAGCAAGATTAATACATAATGACCAAGAAGAACTTTTTCAGGAAAGCAAGATTGGTTTAATTTATCATATGAACAGACTAAAAAAAGTAAAATCATATAATTATCCTATGGCCGCATTAGACACACTTGACAATATCCCATGTGTGGTTTTTTGTTTGTTTGTTCGTTTGTTTGTTTTTTATTAAAATATTTATTTTTTAGTTGTTGTTGGACACAATACCTTTATTTATTTTTATGTGGTACTGAGGATTGAACCCAGGGCCTCACATGTGCCAGGTGAGCACCCTACCACTGAGCCACAACCCCAGCCCCCTCTCACATCTATTTTTGATAAAAATTCTCAGAAAAGTAGAAAGAGAGAAAAAAAACTTCCTCAGTCTGTTAAAGGATATCTCAGAAAAACCTTAAGCTAACATGCTTAATGATGAAGGACACTGCTTTCCACTAAGTTGGTCAACAAGGCAAGGATGTCTTCCTCTCCACCTCTGTTCCAATGTTACTGGAGTGTGTAGCAAACCCAGTAAGCTAAGACACAGACATAAATCACATGCAGTCACAAAGGGAAAAGTTCGACCATCTTTATTAACAGATGACAAAGTCATTGGAAAAGAATCCACAGGAAAAGCAACTAGAATTAATGAGTGAGCTTTGCAAGTATTCAAGGTCCAAGATCAATACACAAAAATCAATTTAGTTCTAAACACTAGCAATGAACAATTAGAAATTTAAATTTTTAAAATACCACATACAACAGCATGAAAAATATAAAATAGGAGTAAATCTTGACAAAAGACATGAATATGGATTAGAAGACTCAATATTGTTAGGATGTTGACTTTCCCCAAATCAATCTGTAAATTCAATGTAATCCTGATCAAAATCCAGATAGGCATTTTTGTAGTAATTGAAAAGCCAATTCAAATGCAAGAGCTGAGAATCTAGAGCAGTCAAAACAACTTTCTTTAAAAAAGAATGTCCCCGCTGGGCAGGGTGGTACACCCCTGTAATCCCAGCTGCTCAGGAGGCTGAGGCAGGAGGATCGTGAGTTCAAAGCCATCCTCACCAAAAGTGAGGTGCTAAGCAATTCAGTTAGACTCTGTCTCTAAATAAAATACAAAAAGGGCTGGGAATGTGGCTAAGTGGTCGAGTACCCCTGAGTTCAATCATGGTACCAAGAAGAAAAAGAATATCCCCATCATTTATACAAAAAAAGCATATATTTTGCATATTGACTAGCATCTGAGAGTTCACAGCAGCTTTATTTGCATAGCCTAAACCAATAAACAACTAAAAAACCATCAATAGGTACAAAGATAAACAAACCATGGTATATCCACACAGTGAGTACCCTTGAACAATAAAAAGGAATGAACTATTAATGCATGCAACAAAATGCATGGTTCTCTAAACAATTATGCTGAGTGTGAGAAGCCAGACAAAAAGGGTACATATATTATTTCAGTTATATAAAACTCTAGAAAAATGAAAACTACAGTGACTGAAAGCAGATCAGTGGTGCCTGGGGAAAGAGAAATGAGGAGAAGGATCTTCTCAGGGTGCCGAATATTTTTCATTATCTTGATTGTTGATATTTCACAAGTACATATATAAGTATGTACTTGAAAACTTGCAAAATTGATCAGTGATAGAGCTCATTCTTACCATATATGAGGCCCTGTGTTGAATACGCAGCACACACACACACAAAAATGCATTTCATATTTGAAGTATGAACAATTTATTCTTTTTTTTTTTAGTTGCCAATTACCTTTATTTTATTTATTTATATGTGGTGCTGAGAATCGAACCCAGTGCCTCACACATGCCAAGCAAGTGCGCTACCACTGAGCCACAGCCACAGCCCCATGGACAATTTATTCTTGTTTCCTGTTGTTTAAAAGAAAGAGAGAGGGACACACACAAAAAGAGAGAGAGAGAGAGAGGAGAGAAAGAGAAAGCCCAGAAGGGACACAATTTTCCAAAAAGCTCAGATGGAGGGTAGTAAGTGTTTCTAAACCTCAGTTTCACATCAGAATCACTGTAGGTAGCTTTAAAACACCCGGGGCCCATGTGGCAGTGGGGGCAGGTATGGAGCAAGAATGGTTAATGGGTGCAGTTGGATAGGAGGAATCATTTCTAATGTCCTATAGCATAGTAGGATAACTAGGATTGACAAACACTTAATTATATATTTTAAAATAGCTAATAGGATTTTTTAAATATTCATAACACAAAGAAACGACAAATGTTTGAGGCAATAAGTAAACCAGTTACCCTCATCTGATCAGTACGCACTGTATACATGCATTGAAACATCGTGCAATATCCCCCAAATTTTACAATTATTATGTAGCAATTAAAAATTTTTAGTACCTTTATTTTATGTATTTCTTTTTTTATATGTATTTCTTTTTATGTGATGCTGAGGATGGAACCCAGTGCCTCACACATGCTAGGCAAGTGCTCTACCACTAAGCCACAACCCCAACTTAATTTTTTAAGTCCTAGGGCCCATCTGCAACCCAGATCTGTAAATTTAGAAGGTGGCATCCAGGCATCCATATTTTTTTAACTCCCTCAGAGATTCCAACATGTAGCCAGTGTTGAGAACTGGTGGATGTGGGATATAAGCAAATTTGAGGAAAGCAAGGTATAAGGAAGCATGCAGGGCATGAAAAGGATCCAAAGTGTAGGGGAAATACAGGCCGAGGAAGGGATGCCCACAGTAGAGGAGTTCAATGGGAAAGGAGGACCTAGGGAGAATTATAGTGGCTGGAATTTAAAAGCTAGGAAAAAAACATGCCTGTGAATGAAGCATGTGTACATTGAAACTTTATTCTGTCTCTGATGAAATGAATGTCTGCAAGTAAAGATAGGTCTGGAGGAAGGAAAGATAGGTATGCTGGGAAAAGGGGGACTGAAGGAACCTAGGCTGAGACCTCCTCACAGTTCTGGCTACTATTCAACAGGGTCCTAAAGCCAAGGTCAGACCCTTAGTAGCACTGGGACTTTGTCACACACAACACTCTGTGAGTTTTGGAGAAAAATGAGTTCCTTGATGTCTCTGCCACCCCCACTTGTGACATCATGGAAACTTCTTTGTGACTGGCTCCTAAACACAGCAGCCAGCCCTCATCCGTGGTGAGGCAGCTAAAAGTGTGACAGGCTTGTGATAAGGGACTGGAGTCAACAAGTGGCAGAGGAGGATGGTAGGACAGACCCCTTCACCCTGGAAGCCCACTGGACTAGCAACAAGATGGGTTCCAGGGTGGGAGATGGCCGCCCACAGTGTCCATGTGTGACAGAGGAAGGGAAAAGATGAAGGGAGGCAGGGAGGGCCAAATCCCAGCCAAGGCAGGACAACTCCCATCCCCTGCCCCAGAGCCTTGAAAAGTGCAGGCACCTGCTGGGTTAAAAGGGACATCTTTATTGGCTGAGCAAAGAGAGAAGACACAGTTGATAGTGATGCTTCTAGAAGCCACTGGGTCTCAGGGTCACTTGTTTGAAGCCCAGTTTCCTCCAAGACGGCTGTACTGACCATCATCATGGTCTCGGAGAGGCTAAGAGGTGAAAAGGGAGACAGTGAGACAGGGTCAAAGTTCTTCTGCCCTCTCCAGAAACCCTCAATGATGGCTTCCTTCTAGAACGCTCCACAAATGCACATGACACATAGTGTCAGCTTCTCCATTCCCACTCACTCCTCCTCCTGATCTTGTCTCCCTCCTGTCAGGGCTCACCTGATAGAGCTGCTCGTTCCTCAGTAGAGTTTGAGTGTCCACAGCTAGAAGAACAAGGGAAGGAGTATCATTAGGGGTGAGGGGGGAAGGGATAATAATACCCATGAAAGCTACAGAGGGGTCTGCAGCTGGTCAAACCCTCCCATGCCCTCAAAAGTCTACATGAGCAATATGGGTGCACAAGTTTTTTCAATATCCAGTGGTAGAACATGGCAAGAATGACCCCCAGATGAAACCAAATCTACCACCAGCCCCATTCTTCAGAAGGAGCATGAGTTTGTTGATTCATATTCTCTGTTTCTCTACTAACCTCCAGAGAGCCTTCCAGTCTCATGGCCTGTAAAGCAGTAGACTCCCAAAGCAAGGAGCAGAGTGGCAACAATGTCAGCAACGATGATGCCAGCCAGGGTGCCTGGGTGCAGCTCCACACAGTTCTGGCACACTGGGGAAGAGGAGGAGTAGAGAGTTTCCAAGATCAGGGAACCATATCTGCCTCCTGTGGCAGCCCTAGGATCTCTCATACTAAGACCCAAACTTCATTAAGATCCTACTGATGGCCTTGCTATATCCTTCTCTCCCCTATCCCAAGGAATTCCCAAAGAGACCCAAGAAGTAATCTCGGCTTGATGGAACCTTAAACTAGGTAATGGGCTAAATCCCTCTGCCAACCAAGCCTGTGGTAACAAGGTCCCTACCACTCTGCCTTGCTGGATCAAGCTCTCTCTCCCTCTCTGAAGACCTCCAGATTTGACTCATGACATTACAAGAGTAACCCCAGTTTATTTAGAGAACAGATTGTTTCATTTCAGAGGCCCGCCATTCCAATCCAATCGGTCCAGGAGGCACATACTTCGATAATATATTTGCAGAGTGGACTTCTTGTCAATCCCTTCACACATATACGTTCCTCGTGGGTCCAGGATGCGTTTTCCCAAGTCCAGATTTTTATTGACTGCTAACTCTGTTCCCACTGTGCCTTCTAGCCACACGACACTGGAATTGCAATGCAAAAACACCTTGTCCTCAATTTCCTCCACAGAGGGGCTCAGACTCGAGGGGCTCACTAAGGGAAAGAAAAATACCATAATCAGAGACAGCTGTTTGGTCTACACCAGACCCCTATTCTGCTGAGGATCACTTTGGGAGTACAGGATAGTCATGGTTTCTAATGAGAGAGGCAGAAGTGATAAGAGAAAGAGTTCAGGAAGTGAACTGCAGATCAGGAAGGTTATGAAGCCGTAGTAGAAGCAGAGAGCAGGCCCTGAGGGACTTGGGGCAAAAGAAGAAGCCGTGAAGCTGGGTTGATCCAAGAACCTTCCTGAAAATGCATTCAGACCACTGATTAGAAGAAGGAGGGGAGAATAGACTGCTGCAGTTCCCAGGAAACTTGGAAAGGCTCAAGAATGTTCCCAGGTTGGAGAGGTCTGCAATTATTCTACTAGAAGTCTTCTAATTCTACTCCCCAATCAATCCCCTATAACACTACCATTTCAACGACTCATCCTCTTTCCTCCCCCTTGTCTCCTCCCCAATATCCACCAGAGGAATGGGGCACTCACTCCTCAAGCCTTCCCCAGGCTTTAGATGATGGCTGGAGTGGGGAGTTGCTGCTATAAACTACCAGCCCAACGATCCAGATTTACGAGAGCAAATCCCATGTAAAGATTTTCAGTTGTTTCACACTTGCTTATGAGAAGAAGGACAGAAAAAAAATATTTATCAAATTTATTATTGAGGCTTCACACACAAATCTTGTGGGGAGTTTAAGGCCAGAGGTGAGGCCAGATTCTTTCTAGAGCCACTGAATTTCTTTGACAGCCTGAGAGCATCTCCACAAGGGCACTGGAATCTATAATACCCATCCCAGGGAAAAGTGAAACTTATGTTCTCCCTGAGCTTCATATTCAGGGATTTGGATATAAAAACATTCTTAGAAAATAGTTATTTCTCCTGCATCTGAAGCAAGTCAGGAGTACATGTGTGCACACTCAGGGAGACATATGTATATCAAGTACTTTACTTCCTAGAGCCATGTCTTCTTTGGAATTGTTTCTAGCAGGATTGCTGGGTGTTCCAGGGTTGCTGTGAATTAGGATGACTATTTATTTTTTTTTAATTTTTTTTAATTATTTGTTTTTTTTGTTTAGGTGGACACACTATCTTTATTTATTTTTATGTGGTGCTAAGGATTGAACCCAGTACCTCGCACATGCCAGGCCAGCGCGCTACCACTTGAGCCACAACCCCAGCCCCTAGGATGACTATTTAACCCAGTTTTCCTGAGAGTAAGAGGATTCTGGGACATGGAATTTTCAGAGTTCTCTTGTTTTGTTTTCTTTTGTTTTGTGGTACTGGAGATTAAACCCAGGGCCTCACACATGCTAGTCTAGTGCTCTGTCACTAAGCTACATCTCCAGCTCCATTTCAGTTTACTTTTTTTTCTTTTCTTTTTTTTTGAGACAGTGTCTCAGTATGTTGCCCAGGCTGGTTTTGAAATTCTCCTACTTCAAGGAATTCTCCTACTTCACCTTCCTAAGCAGCTGTGATTCTGTTTTAAAACGAACTTAAGACAAGAGCTGGGTGCAGTGAAGCACACCAGTAATCCCAGCTGCTAGAAGACTGAGACAGAAGAACAGCAAGTTCAAGGTCAGCTTCTACAATTTAACAGGATCCTCTCTTAAGATAAATAAAAATAAAAAAGGGCTATGGGGGCTGGGGATGTGGCTCAAGCAATAGCACGCTCGCCTGGCATGCGTGTGGCCCAGGTTCGATCCTCAGCACCACATACAAAACAAAGATGTTGTGTCTGCCGAAAACTAAAAAATAAAATTAAAAAAAAAAAAGGGCTATGGGTGTAGCTCTGTTAGATCACCTCTAGGTTCAATCCCCTGCACCACAACAAACAGGGATGTATTGGTATACTATTGACCATGTAATGATCTCCACACACCAATCTGCCCTTCTGCTTTCTCAACCTAAAATTAATTTTTCTCTTAAAGCATTCCCCTGAGTCCCAGAACATGACTCCAGATGGTCACATAATGATGGACAAATGAATAAGAGCCCTGAAAATACTGGAAGGAGTGCATATAGTTCCACTAAGGCACACACATACTGAACAATTTCCTACAGATCTCTGGCCTAAGCTCTTTAAAGAGAGACATTCAGGGCCAACATGTGCCCTGGCTAGAGTAAGTTGAAGCTAAGCACCTCTTTTCTACCTCTCAACCCTGCCCTCCTGACACCTAGGGTGCCTGGTGAATTGGAACAACATTGAGAAGCACTTTCCAGTGGACCTCTCTCCCAGTAGTAATGTCCTTTGCAGGGACCTTCCGCCACCTGCTTGGAGAAGCCTTACTTACCTTGATGGAGAATGGCAGCCAGTATCAGATGGGACAGAAACCTGCTGAGTTCCATTTTTTGGTAGAATTCACCCAGCAGATAGAGCCAGGTCAAGGAACTACCAACCAGAGTGAAAGATACCTTCCCCCAAATGATTCATGGGTATGCGGAAAAAGTAAAGAGTTGGGGAGGAGCTGTAAGATGTCTGCCTCTCTGCTCTCTGCCTTTGATGAAAGGAGTAGGTCAGGGGTGGGGTAGGAAGGAAGCAGTTGCAAATTGTTCTTTCTCTGAGCAGGGAGCTTGGGGTTGGGACGGAAGTCAAAGTAGAGAATATGGAGAAGATTGCCTGGACTTCTAGGAGGTGAATGGAGATTTAGGACAGCCTTTCCTGAGTCATTGGTGAAAAATGAGAACTTCACAGTCCCTGTTGACAACCTAACTACATTTACTTACTAGTTAAAAACTGCCACCTCTCACAGCCCCTTGAGAGAAGGTATGAACCCCATTGCACAATCCTATCAGCTAGGTTCCTCCCATTTCTGGTATTTCTCAGGACCCTTCCCTGGGCAGACTGGGACACCAGATGAAACAGCTTCTAGCCACTGGGAAATTGGACTTCAGAGCATCGCCAGCCAAAGACTTGAATCCCAGCTCCACTGCGAGAGCCAGGCATGGAATTCTCCAGAGCCTCATTCTCAGTATCATTATAAGGATTTGAAAAAAGGTGTTTGTATAGTGTCTGCCACATCAGATGTGCTCCGTAAGAGGAAGTTATTAATAACAATATAATCAACTCCCTGGCAAAATTAAGCCTTCCCAGGAGACAATGTACTTTTTCCCCTTGTGACCTGTAGGGATCTGACACTCCATACTTCTACAATAGGACTGAGCCATGTCTGCCCTGCTCACTGCTGGGATTTTGTGACAGGCACATAACAGAGCTCTGTGAATTTCTGTTGGTCACTGATTGACTGGATGAGGGAGATAGGGACCTCAGATTCTTGAAACTCAATCCAGGCCTTACCCCTGGAAATGTGCTGGCAGTCCTGTTGAAATTCTCCCATCTACTCTCTTCCAGGCAGGCACCACTTTGATGATCTCAAAAAAATAGTGACAAAAATTCCTGAATGAAGGCCTAGTCAGAGGTGCTTTTGCACATGGAGTTCCAGCTCCAAGCACCCAAGAATCCTGCCTAAAGTCATTAGTTATAGCATCAAGTGACAACTGGCTGCAATCCTAGCAACAACAGGAAGCAGGATGTTTATCTCTCTCATGAAGAAAAGAGGTCAGGATCATACCCGCAACCTAGCATCCAAAGGGGTTCTCAGGGCAAGCCAAGTCTCTGAGTGGAAATTCAGTTCTCTCTCCCTCTCCCTCCTTACCACCTCCTCTGTACTCCTTAACAGAAAAACAAGAGGCATCTATCTGCACCTGCAGCCCTGAGAAAGCCCCTGCTGCCCACACTTGAAGCAGAGGGTGGAGGCTCTGGGTTCTTGCCTTTGTGCAGGGGCCCTAGGTGCTGGGCGGAGCCAAACCAGTTGCTGCTCAGGCTGGCTGGCTGCTAAGGCTTGCTCCACACTTCTGCCAAGAAGAGTAGAAACTGACATGGAGCAGGGGAAAGGTCTGACTAGCTTCATCCTGGCTATCATTCTTCTTCAAGGTAAGAGCCTCTAGGGGGTCTGGCAACCTGGAGAAGGGCTCACTGGTAGAGGCCATCACCAGAAAGACAGGGCTGCTGGAATCCTAACCTTGAACCTACCTCAGCAGTCACCCTGGAATTCAAAGAAGGAAAGGCAAAAATGAAACTTCTTACTGTTCTCAACTAGAGAGAAGTAATGTCTCAAAGGGGTTCTTATCTCTGAGAAATCAAAATAGAGGGCTTAACTGAGAAGACCCTGCTGCCGCCATCTTAGGCTTGAATGTAGCCCAAAAGGGCACAGGCAAGAAAACTGAAAGGGAAAGGTACCTGTTCTCTGATTCAGAGATGGGCTTAGCAGTATACCTGTGAATGACTCACTCACTCACTTGGTCAGTTGGCCAACTGGTCAACAAGCATGGGTAAGATCCAAATGGGCAGATAGTGCAGAAGGATAAAAAGATAAATAAAAAGTTTCTGCTCTAAAGAGCTTATGGTGTAATTAGAGAGTTAAATTTCAATGTTGCCATACTGAGCATAAGGTGCAATCAGGGTTGCCTTAATGAATGTCCAGTTTAAAATATCCAAGGGTCATCTGGAGTCTGGACACATGGAGGGAAGCCAAAACCACTATAGTTATTGATATTGTACAAGTACCATGTGATATGTGAGGATGGAACTGTAAGACACCAACTCTTATGAGATAATTAGAGGGGGGAAAAAAAAAACTCAAGAAAGCAATGAAAGAATGATCAAGGACCTGAAATAATCAGAAGAGTACAAAGCATGGAATAGACAGCTTCCAGAGGAGAGAATTACCAAGAGTGTGAAATGTTAGCGAGAGTCCAACCACATAAGAACATATTTAAAATTTAAGTTTGTGGGATCTGGCAAAATAAAAGTCATGAGTAATTAAATAAGAACAGTTTTGGTGGAATAGTGTGAGTGAAAACCTAATGGATGAAGGCAGGTGACAAAGGGCAGTGAGTATAGGCTACTCTTGAAAGAAACTTGAATGAAAGGCAGGACGGATGGAGCAGGAGGCAGAGGTAAAAGTACAGTCTAAAAAGAAATATTTTTGAGGGTAAGAGAAACTTGAGCACATTTGTTGATGTCGGAAGTACAGAGCTAGGAAGGGAGTCAAGGGCACAGAGGGTAAGGCAATATTACCTGCTGGGACTAGCAGAAAGGAAATACAGATGGCTTGGCCACTGGGAGACTTGTAAAGAGAAAGAAGCTGGAGAAAAGTCTAACAGGACCTGTGTTCTCAAAAAAAACTAAGTGGAAGGCAATATCACCCGCTGAAACTGCGCTGATGATAGCCAAGTGGGAAACTTAAGAAGACAGGGAGAGTGTGGAATTATTTCGAGAGAAAAGGGATAAAGAGCGAGGTAACACAGGTTAGAGGGCAGCCCAGGAGCTGGAGGGAGCTTAGCTGCATATAGTGAAAAGAGCTTTGGATCAAGCAATAGAAATGTGAGCTCCGGGTCCAGCTCAGACACCAATGAGCTGTGTGTGCACTCCGGAACAAGGCCTCCAACCCTCTGGGCTCAGTTCTCTAAACAATCAATCCAGAAATTTTGCTATAGCAGCTCTCAAGTTCTGAAAGGAAGCAACACTCAGATGTAACAAACATCAGCAATAGTTCCATTTCCTTCCTTTGGAATCTGAGTTTGAAGCAAGGGACTCTTTGGTGATCAATTCTTGGGGAGAAGGGGTGCTAAGAAATCTATTTAACTGTTATGCCTTTCTTCTGCATTTACTCCTTTATGCATTCAGGCATTTGTCCAACAATACGAAGCTCCTACCATGTGTAGGCATTGTGTTGGGGACCATTCATAAGCAGTTCAGCCCTGCACAAAATTCTAAGATAGTTGACTCCTTCCAGCAATTTCTATCATACTTTGACTCCTGACCAGCTCTCTTCATCATACATTCTACCTCTAGCCACACTGCTTCTCTTGTCCTTTACCAAATCTGTATCTTCACTCACCTGTTTTTTTTCCTACCCCAAATGTCTTTCTCTGCCTAATGAATTCTTACAGGTTCGTTCTTCAGGATTCAGCCAAATTTCTCACAACAGCTTCTATTTTTTTTCAAATGCATTCACATTAGTACTAAAAGATAAGTTGTGAGTTCTATTACATTAATTACATATGCTTATTTTTTCCACTTCATCTTAAATTCTTTGGAAGAGCAACTGGTTCTTGACATCACCACCCTTTTCCTTCACAATACTTTATCATGTTAGGTCATCATAATGCTCGGTAAATGTTTGAATTAAATCAAATTGAATTAATTCCAGAGCTATTTCTCTGTACTACTCTACCATGCAACCTGTTATGGAGAGAGATTTGAGGGCTAATTGAATAGCTCATTTTCCTGGGACTCACTTTTCAGGGTTTCTATAATAAACTCACTTTTCAGGGTTTCTATAAGAAATAGATTGCCAAGATTTTAGAAATAAGTCAACTTCAAAGGGTTTGGCCACACTTACCCCTTGATAGGGTTTTAGTTGCTAACAGAATAGAACATTCTGGGCTGTATAGTCAATACCTTTACATATACTGCAATACAATTTGGATGCTAACCCCCCAGAGTTAATGGCAGATCTCACAAGTTAAGAGCATAGCTGCCAACAAAACTGTCCTCCCTGCAAAGGTATTCCCACAAATGCGGGAGTCCCCAGACCTCACTAACTGACAAACTAGCTGTATATCCAGAGAGTTCCCATGACTCCTCATGTTTGAACATGTACTAGAATGACTCACAGAACTCAGGAAAGTATTTTACATACTGTTACAGCAAATATATATATATATATATATATATATATATATATATATATTCGGCTAAATGAAGAAACAGAGAGGGCAAGGCCTTGGGAAGTTCTAAACACAAAGTGTCTATGGCCTCTCCCTGGGGAATCAGAACCCATCACCTTCCCAGCAACCATGAAGCTCCATTACGTTATTATGGAGGTGCCACCACAGAGTCACAGTTGATTGAATCATTGGCCAGTTAACTGAATTCCATCTCAGCCACTCCCCTCCCAGGATTGGCAGCAGTGACTTCAAAGCCCCATATGGTTGGTCTTGACCAGGCCCATCCTGAGTCATTGCCTTAGCATGAGCTCAAGTACAGTCCAAGTGGGTACCAAGAATAGCAGATGCACTGCATCACTCATAAAATCCAAGGGCTAGAAACTCCCTTCCAGGAAGCTGGGACAAAAACCAAACAAATTCTTCATTATAATGTTGACTTCAATTCAGTAATTTAGGCTACATCCAGGAATGTGGGAACAGATTCTGTCATTCCCATGGGTTAGAATCCCTCTTGATCTTGACCTCAAATGACCATGAGAATACTTCAGGGCATCACAATAACTCCATGCCCACCTGATCCTCTCTCTGTTGTCTACAGGTGCTGTGGCCCAGTCAAAGAAAGGTAGGAAAAAAAGACTTCTTTCTGTCCCCAAACTCTGAGGAAATTCATAGAAATGTGACTTGCTACAGAAGTAGTGCACACCTCTAAACTCAACTCCTTGGAGTATTACAAGTTCCAGAC